AGGATATGGATATAGCGGGCAAACAGCAACTTTTGGCACTTCTGTGTAGGAGATTCTGAACCACAGGAGGTGAGAAAGAGAAAGGGAAATAAAACTGCCAAAAAAAGAGAGATGTAATAAAACTGGGAAAAAAAAGACAAAGAAGAAGGAAAATACAGTAACAAAAGATAACCCTTACATAAAGAGTACCCGAGCTGTCAGGGAATACAAAATAACACAGTGCTCTCTTAAGGTGTAGGGTTTTTGAGAGGATTTGGAGGTTGCAGTGTGTGCACTCTCTTATAGTATGACATGCTAAAAATGGGAAGGCGACCACAGAGTCATACTCTGTGGCTACTGAAATGCCTAAAAACCACACCAGGCTTCAGTGCCAGCAGCAAGCTACACCTAGAATGGGAAAATGCAAATAGACCATCAAAGAGGGTTCATTACCTGCTACTTGCCTGTCCTGCCATTACTACACTATCTCTTTATTCTTCACAGATGCATATGTTCAAAAGAATGGAATTTAAATGTTATAGTCAAACCTTGGGTCAGATATGGCACAAAGCAGCTCCTCCAGAAATATATAATAGTGCTAAACATTATTTTTCATGCTTTTTCTTCTACTCATTTTACTGGAGTCTGGTAGACAGACCAGCTGCCAAAATGAGTTTCTTAGTAGCATACAGATTTAAGGACTCCAGCAGGGAACTGCTGATTTTGAATATTTGCAAGGGTTGAAATTTAAGTGTGTGGATTTTATTTTTTTTATTAATGTTTTGTAACGTATTGCACTAGTTCTACATTGCTGTTAAATCACCACCAAAAGTGACTTCTTTGTATTTAGAAACATCTCATTAAAGTTGACAGAGGGAGGCATCTGGGAGCCAAGCACATTAAATGTCTTCCATATCAGCCTCCATGTGATCAATTGTATTCAAACTGAGCCAGCAAATGAAACAACACTGTATATGTACCTCAATAGTTGTGCAACCATTAAAGTCTGGCATATGCACTGTTTTATCCTCAGTGAATTGGACTTGTATGTATAATTATTCAGGGAGTACTGATAAGGTGAAACTCCTATGGAGAATGAATTGATCTCCACAGTGAAGCTGGTATTTCCTCCTACTGTAAAACATGACTGTGGTAGAAATGAAGGCTGGCCTGAGCCTGTGAAGGCCAACAGAGCTTTCATGGATTATTGCACAAAACCCTCAAAAATGCAGTAACAAAACAAAGAGCTGCCCCAAATGTCTTCCCAGAACTACCCACGTCTCTCACTTTCCCCGCCTCTAGTAGCTGCAGCAGTGTGCCCATTAAAAAGATCCTCTTTCAGGGCCACAGCCGAGTCACAGAATCATAGAATGATAGAATCATAAAGGTTGGAAACGACCTTTAAGATCATCAAATCCAACCTACAGCCCTACAACACCCTAACACTAAACCAGCTCCTGAAGTGCCACATCCAACTGTTTTTTAAACACGTCCAGGGATGGTGACTCCACCACCTCCTTTGGCAACCCATTCCAATGCTTCACCACCCTTTCAGTGAAGAAGTTTTCCTAATATCCAATCTAAACTTCCCCTGGTGCACCTTGAACCCGTTCCTTCTTGTCCTATTGCTGTTCACTAGGGAGAAGAGGCCAACACTCATCTCACTACAGCTGCCTTTCAGGTAGTCATAGAGAGTGATGAGGTCTACCCTCAGCCTCCTCCAGGCTGAACAGCCCCAGCTCCCTCAGCCTCTCTTCATAAGACTTACCCTTTAGTCCCTTAATCATTCTGGTTGCCCTTCTCTGTACCTTCTCCAGCACCTCGATGTCCTTCCTGTACCGTGGAGCCTAGAACTGCACACAGCACTCGAGGTGTGGCCCCAACAGAGTCCCTTTGGAAAGGAATTAAAGTGAGAGAAGAAAAGGTTGCAGGCAGAAGCAAAACCTCACAAGGAGAGGAAGCGACTCTTGAAAACGTCAGGGAATAACTGCTCCTAAGGCAGAAGTGTCAAATCTTAAGAAGGTCCTAGAAGAGGGCTTCAGCTGTTGGACTGGCATCAAAGAACCACTGGCTCAGAAATGTGAGAGTCCTAATCCGATGTCTGTTCTTCCTGATCCCACAAGAAAAGAAGCAAACGTCACTCTCCTCTGGGTGTACATTTTGGTATTGTATTTCAGTGTAACCTTCAAACACGAACTAAATATATTTTGGAGGGTTTTCAACACATTCCTCATAAATATTTCATTCGTCCATACAGTTTAATGTTAAAGATGATCATTAGTACTTAAGAGTCAATAAAAGCACCTCATTAAGTATTCAGAGCCAACACAGCCCATTCTTTTTGTGTTTATACTCACACACTTTCTCCTCAGCTTCTCACAGGAAAAAATTTGCATCTGTTCAGAATGTCTAACATGGTTGAGAACTGAACCTTATTATCACAGGAACAGAACTAAGCAGGTAGATGCAGAGGCACCATCTCTGGAGTCCTTTGCACACGTTAGATGGGTGATGAGCGTACTTTCTCTTTAAATTAACCTTTTACACGCATTAAGCAGCAGATCTATTCAGACTGTTGAAAGTTTAGCATTCAGGCAGCATTAAGCTGGGAGGCTTGGTTTGTGCGCCGTTTAATTTTTTAAACAAACCTAGTGTGTTTTTTTTTTTAAACAAACCTAGTAAACAGTTGACATTAGCACCCTGAAGTATCCTTAGCAGATGCTAAGAGAGTTCAACGATGGCAGATCATGCAAGCTTTCGCCTGAATATTAATACCCCAGCATCTCATCATATGAAGCAACGCACATGGCTTAAATCCCTATAAGCAGCTATAAGAAACAAGCAGCAGTTAACACATACCAAAAGGTTCAAGGGGAGGCCATTATCAGGACTGTCTTGGTACATGTTTAGAGACACCAGAAAGCTTGGCAGCATAACATGGCTAATGGACTGAGATCATAGAATCACAGAATGTTTGGGGTTGGAAGGGACCTCGAAAGATTGTCTAGTATAACCCCCCGGCCAGAGAGATGTCATTCATCCATCCTGTAAAAACAAACCCCTTTAATCCTCTTTTCCCCAAGAGTCTTGAATTGCTGAAGGAGGAGTATATTTTCTCTCAGAGATGCAAAATTATTATACTTCCTTTGTTTTGCCACAATGATGTTGAGAAAGGAAGCATCATCTTCTGCCTTATCTGTGGTTACGCAGTACGCTTTCAAGGGCAACTTTTATGGACTACCACTATTTATGAACAACAGAAGTGTTAGGATTGTGACAGTGTAGAAAACATTATTTGCAATAGTTTAAGTGCAGTAAGAAAAGCATGCATTTGCCTCATTAGGATAAGGATTCTAGCTCTACATTTTTCCAAAGCCAGCATTTATTCCTTTAAATTATTTTTCATATTGGATGAATTAATTACAGTTGCTTTTTTGTTGTTGTTGTTCCAGAGGGAAATAACCCCACTGACAGTTGCATTGCAGTATTATCTAAAGTGACATTTCATTTTTGTACTTCTAAAATACACCCTTTTCTCTCAAAACAATATTAATCAATTAACAAGAGAATGGACACCAAAATGTTTTGGTAACTTGAGGTATCATCTTCTCTTACTGACTCCATACAAGTCAGTCTCTGAAACACACAAACTTCTATTACAAGAAACTTTTCTCCGTTTACCCACTGCATTTTTTTTTCACATTGAGTTACTGAGGAAGTGCAACTTATTGCATGAAATATTCAAAAATATTCAGAACATGTTTACAGCATGCAGCTAAGAAACTGCAGTAACTGCCTGCAAGAATTACTATGAACACAAACATGTTTTCTACATGTGGTTGGCTGACACCCCTAAACCAGTTATTCAAATATTGCAGAAAATTCTGAAATATAGTCTGTGCAAACTTGCTTAATAACACGGTTTGTCAAGGATACTATCAGCACTCTTCAAGACAAAGGGCTAGAAAGCAGCGTTGGGAATTTAAGCTTGTAATTCCAAGTAATAGTATTTTTTTTTAATTATTACTGAAATGTTTTATTCACGAGCTCAAATTAAACAACCTATTTCAGACACCTGCTGCCTTTCCACTTCTCACCTAGCACTGGGCACCTAACCCAACTACTGCTTCCTCTTGCAGGACCACCCCAGCTGACCTAGCCTCTACACGGCACTTACCAACGATTTCCTGGGAGGATGTAGGCTTGGACCTGAAAGCATCTTGCAGGAGCAAAAATACAGGGGTGGAAAGAGTACGCTGCGAAAAGGATAATGCCTGTCATACAGGATGTTTTTGTGCTCTCTATGAGACTAAACCCAGGAAAGCGGAGAGCATCCCTGCCTTTGTAGATGCAGTCGGTAAGTGGTTCACCTCGGATTCCCACTAGAAGCCCACGACGATTAGCCACAAGCCATCGTCACGCTGCATGTGGCACAGATTCTGCAGCTACCAGTGAGATTAGTTTTGACACAGATTAGGGTTACAAAGTTCGTTAGTCTTGATGCAAATTTTGACTTTGACATATTTTTCAAATTTGCTTAAGAAAGCAGCAAATTACAAGCCCTGATTTCAGCTTTCAGTTTGCTGAAAATCTCAGGAAATCTCAGGAAACAGTCTGTTGTAAAAAAGATTTCTGTCATGGAACAAAGAGGAGGAAAACTATTCTGATTTTATGTACAAGTCACTTCAGCTTTATTAGCGAATATAACAATGTAAGAAATTAAAATAAAAACCTAAAGATGCAATATTTCCTTTTGCCACAAATTGCTGCAAACTCTTCAGTGACTGTAGATGCTCTGATTATTCAAAGATACACTTTCACTTTCAGCTGAAAAGCCGAAATTAAGTAACTTTTTTTTTCCGTAAAGCACAATATTATAAGTGGATAATAGTAAAGAATAATAAATAGAAATGTTACATAACAAATTTATTACTGAAAACCAACAAAACTAGATTTCATTTCTGAAATCATTTTTATGACCTATCAGTACAGTAGGCTTGGCAGGAGAATCCAGCTTGTATTTACATGTATCTGTTTCGAATGTAGTCTCTGTACATGAGGAAGTCATCTTTTCCCAGGGGCTGCATGTTTCCTCTTCCAGCCTGAATGTGTGCATGAAAAATCTCTATTGATTTTCTATCAGCTCTTGGAGGCTGAACTTCATAAATATTGTCTTGAGAAAAGGAGGAGATGGGTATTCTATAAAAACACAAACATGCAGAATATTTAGAACTTTAGGTAAAAACTTTCTACAGAGAGAGAACAGTGTTTCTTTTCCTTGAAATACATACATGAGAGTTAATAAAAGGACAACTTCCCACTAGACAATTCACTTACCTAGATTTTTAGCACTATTGCAGAACTGGTAAGACCCAGCCTTCCAAGTGGGGTAATTAGGTAAGTTGTCACTAATTACATTACAGAATACTTTCTCACTTCCCTCCACTCTGCCCTCATTGCTTCATCCTTCCTCAGATCTGCTATGGTTAGTAAGTACTCAAGCTGAAACAGAACTGTGTCATGCATTATAACAGATTACAGAAAAGCTTTACTGAGCTCTCTGCTCAGCAGCAATTATAACAAGCAAGTGATTATACTCTGAACCAAAATACAGAAAGGTTTTATCAGATAAGAAATTTCCATCTAATTATCAGGAAACTATTTATTACCAGCAACAGCACTCTGTACATTGGGACTGATGATATTTTATGAAAATATATTTTTAAATAGCTTCGTGCAACATGTACTATCTTTGAATCCTAATATTTAAACCTACTCATGACAAATACATGAAGTTTGAAAGTTTGGAAGAACCTGAGTTTGAACCTTTTCTAAGTGCTATTGTCAGTCAGACTAATTTATAAGGTAGAAGTTGGTCTTTTAATTGTAACTCTTGAAAACTGCGGAGCCAGCAGGTCAAGGAAAGTGCGGGTTTCACAGAATCACAGAATAGTTGAGGCTGGAAAAGATCTCTGAGATCATCAAGCCTAGCCTATGACCCAACACCACCACATCCACCAGACCACGGCACTAAGTGCCACATCCAGCCTCTCCTTAAAACACCTCCAGGGACGGTGGCTGCACCCCTTCCCTGGGCAGTGCATCCCAGTGCCTGAGCACCCTCTCCATGAGGAAATGTTTCCTGAGATCCAACCTAAACCTCCCCTGATGCAGTTTCAGGCCGCGCCCTCTCCTCCTGTCATGAGTTGCCCAGGAGAAGAGCCCAACCCCCACCTGACTACACCCTCCCTTCAGGCAGTTGTAGAGAGTGATCAGGTCCCCCCTGAGTCTCCTCTTCTCCAGGCTAAACACCCCCAGCTCCCTCAGCCTCTCCTCACAGGACTTTCACGAGTTTTCCCTCTATTCAGGGCTTCAGAGACCGTATTCGGAGCACTGAGCCCACTTTTGGGCTCTCCAGTACAAGACCGACAATGAAATATTTGGGTAAGTCCAGCAAAGGTCACCAAAATGCACAGAGAGCTGGAGCACAGAGAGACAGCGAGTGCTGGGTTTGTCCAGCCCGGACAAGAGAATCTAAAGGGGACCTCATTGCTATCTCATCTACTTAGTGGGAGGGTGTCTGTGTGGACCCAGACTCTTCTTGAAAAGACAAATTTTAAAAAGGGAATGCAAATTGCAACGAGGGATATTCTGATTAGATACAAGCAAACTTTTTTCCCACTGTGAGGAGTGTCAGTCAGTGCTGTTGCTCAGAGAGGCTGTGGGACCTCCCTCACTAAGGATATTCAAAAGTCAAATGTAAGTAACCCTGAGCAACCTCATCTAATCCTCCATCGGTCCTCCTCTGAGCCGGGAACTGGATCAGATCACCTCCAAGGTCTGTTCCAGTTTTTAATATTCTACGGTTCTAAGTCAAACCATCCAGTAGCAATGTGTTCTCCACAACCAATGGCAAGGTAGCAACAAAACTATTTATACTCAATACATAAAAAGTGAATAGACACTAAATGTACCTGTATAGTAAGTAATATTAATTTTATAGCACTTCAGCTATTGTGAAAGCTGTATTCATAAATACACTATGTACACTTCCCAGCAATATTTTAACAATTTATTTATAAAATACTCCCAGAGTTGATTTTACCTGTGTGATGGCAAATCAGTTTGGGTTCCACAACAGAACATTCAATGCCTAATACACTGTCATCTGAGGGTAACCTGTGCATTAACTTTTCCTTCTGACAATACTATTTGATTTAGAGGAAATCAAAATTTTAAATTTACAACAAGGAAAATAAAAGACAGAACTATGATTATCTAGAGCAGTGGATGCAATGCACCTATAATTTATTTATCTTGTTTAGCATTTATTTCTCAATTATGAAAAAATATACAATTTGAGTTTTCTAAATCATCAGTTTCGTGCATTTTGAGCTCGTATTTCAGATGGAGAAGCTGAATTACTTTCTAGATAGCTATTAAAATGCTGCTTTATAAATACTCGATACTCCCATGGAGTAACTAGCAGCCATGTCTGAGGACAAACTATCAAAACAGAACAGGTACTGAACAATCCCTTCTCCTGTGTATCCTCCCAGATTTCAGCAACCAGGATTTAGTATTTACCTAAAGCAAAATTTGAAACTGGACTACTGTTTCATGAAAAATGATGTCCGTAGGTCTTGCTCTTCTAATGGCTTACAGAATCCTGTGGGAACGTGTTCCATTACTTAACTGTGCCCAGTGCTCCCTTGATTTGCTATCATGGGCCTTGGTTGCTCATAATTCTCACACTGGGAGAAATGGTGAACCGTCATCCTCTGTTTGCCTCCTCCACGTCACTACTTCATCTCTACTTCATACTGTACTTCATCTCTCCTCATACACCAGTTATTTTCTGATCAACCTTTTCACCTTTCCATTAATGCAGAGTTCCAAGGTCTCCTCCATCTTCTTTGATGGACCAAAACTGAGTTTAACACCTGAGACTTTTTTCACCTAGCTTTTAATTTGTCTGCTTCTCATCATTTTCTACTATTTTAGCTACTGAAGATAAATTTTTTAAATACTTAATAGCATATTGGAATAATAGACAGTGCCAGTGGCTGAAAAACAGTCAGAATGCTATTGTTAAATAATGTATTAGTATGTGAACGTATTTTTTTGGGCTCAAAACTTCTCAGGTGAGAAATTAGAGCAGCAACTTGTTGTCAAATCTGTTTCCAAGAGGAAACATTTACCAGCCTAAATGCAATGAAGACTCAAATATCGGCATCGTTGACATATTGCACAGAAGCCACACCCATGACTCACTATCGAGGTGCTCTTGAAGGACAAGAAGTTATTTTTATGTGTGTAACCTCCTCTATTACAGGGAAAAAAACTAAGGAAGAACTGGAACACTCAAACAATGGCAGAGCCCTTTTATAAATGAAATGCATCAATAATCTTCTAGTTGCATTATGAGCACAAACTAATGTTTAACACTGTTTCTAAACCACGATCTCTATTAAAAGTGCTAAAAAACTTTCTCCCTTACTTTGTAGCCTTTAATTTTATTAGAATATGTTGACTTTGGGATGTTTCATGACATGATGGTTTGTTAGTCTTACAAAATGATTGAAATGTTATGCAATATAGTTTGCCTAATATTCCACTACAACTGGCATATGGTATATAAAATAAAAAGGTTTCCATGTTTAAGTAGTATTTATGAATTTCATTTTTTAAAATTTGTATCCTTCCATTTTACATTGCAATATATTCAGTTAATTGTACTTTGATTGCAATGATAGAAGTACTTATAGGTATATTATCTAATTTGAGACAATAAAATCACTGGTCACTGCATACTTAAAACTAAGTTACATTTTACCATGATGTAAATTCCAGATTGTATTATGATTCCCATATAGGCTTCTTAGTCTTAGAATTCTGTGGAATTACAGTGGAATGTAAACAAATACTAAAATTGTGAGCAAGTTACCTGCCTGTACGATTAGGATAAATTTCGAAAAGGCTTACCATTTTTACGCTTTTCTTAAACAACACAAAACTCTTATTCCAAAAGAGTTGAAATTCATCTGAAGTGTCCAACCTCTGCTATTATGCTGTCAGCATTTTATCAGCACTTTATTTTATCAGCATTTTATTTTAGTTTTTGTTGGCAAACTGTATGGATAACACTACGGAAATTCTATCAAACTTGACTTTTAATTTCTATCCTTTTTCTCAACAGAGTGACAGTTTCTTCTCATCACTTTTTCTAGTTCAATAAAAAACATTAAGGTGGGTGTTTTCAGAACTGGTACCAAACATTAGTCCATCCAACCTTGTGTCTAAATGTTTTAAAAGCAGATTGCTTTTCAAAGCACCCACAGCTTCTGCAAAATCTTTTTTATCTAGTTTAGAGCATTCGAGCCTAGACTCTACCAAGGGTATTTGACACTAGCACGCTGTACCAACCAATTTCACTAAGACCAGAAGATGTCACTTACTAAAATGTAGCTGGCATGTCTAGCCCACTAGACAAGTGAACAACTAAGCAAAAGAACAAAATAAAGCCCTAACACTAATTTGGTGCCTTCTCTACTTATTGATTGGTTTTTAAGGACAAAACGTTTCTGAAGCACTAATAAGTCAAAAGTCATTTCCTTGGGCACAATGGAAGCTACACAGCAAAGTATATTTTGAGTATTTAGTAACTAAATCTCAATTTTCTACCTATTTGCCTCAGCATAATAAAAATATATTGAAAGAACTGCATGTTCATGCATGCCAATTTTGATTAATAACCCTGTATTAAGCTGTAACTATTTGTAGAGTGCCTGTATTATCCACTCATTTAATTAAAGTCACTTCTCTAATACCATTCATGTAAAAATCGAATCTACATAATAAACTCAGTATCTTAAAATAGAGTCATAAGGGAGAGCACATTTGATATGACTTGGCTATCAGATCTCCCAAGAGACCCATGGCTTGATGGCCTTCCAATGAAAATGACACAGATGGGAACATAAACACCATGTCATGAAGGACAGTGCCCTTGACGTGCAAAGTGCAATTATTTTCATCCCACTTGCGAGCAGGCTTTGAGGTGTTATGGTTTCACCAGCAGTAACACCGTCTCCACAGTAAAAGATAATAGAGCTAAAATCTTCAGTTACCATGAGGATGCTCCACACTTTGAAGGAAAAGTGCACAGTGATGTATTTAGCTCTCAGAAATACAGCAGT